AACGGAGTATTTGGTGCCACGGAACTAGATTTATTTCATGATTCTATTTAATTATAAGTTTTGTTCTTTTTCTAATTTTTTTGTTAATACGATTAGCAACGATTGTACTTAAACATGACGTCAATGCCGAATATATATTGATTAACATTATTAATACTTGATACATTATAATTATACAGTTGCTTAACAGAAAACTTCATATTTTTTTTATTTATTTACATCTCTAACACACAATTATTAAGTCTTATACATATATCATATAATAAGTTATTTTAGGCACTATGATTAAAAATTTAAAAATATTTTAATACTTTAATACATACTAAAAAGGAAAAAATATACAACAAAAATGTCAACTTTTTTTTCAGGAATTTTTTGCAATTTTAGTTTAATAATTTACGAAATCAACACTTTTATCATTCAAATTATAATTAAAATTTAACATACATCATACATTTATACTCCTAAATTAAGATGAATTTAAAAACTGATATTTAATTTGAAATCAGCGACCTTTAAAACAAAAGGAATAGCAAATGTCAAGATGTTTTTTGTCTTAAATCAGGAGCTACGTTAAGATACGCTATTTAAATGTTGCTGGTTGCTTAATTTTAATAAAATATATTAATATAATACACAAAATGAAGGGATACCTTTGTATCAGGTTTTTGCACCTACTTATTATTAATATTTTATTTACTAATGAATATGCAAAATTAGAGCCCAATATATTGTTTATTAAAATAAATTATTTGTACAAAGGTTATTAAATTTACAACATATGATTTATGCGATCTGAATACTTAAAAAGAGTCTAAAAAAAAATATCATGAAAACTTATACATTAATAAATAATTTAAACATTATCAATTAAAAATGATTTTTAAAAAAAATACTGTGTTACTTTTTTTGTTGTGTGTTGTGAAGACAAAAATATGTTACGGCAAAAATAACTGGGTAAAAACTGAAATATCATTAGAAATAGCTTTAAATTAGATACTGGATTCTCGTATCTTAGTTATGGTGAGGTACAAAATTTGTCATTTTCAGATATCAAAAATAAAATCTTGGAAGAAAATCAAAATCTAGAAAATGTTGTATTAACGAAAAAAACGGATATAATATTTTTGGACCTTTTTTGTAGTAATATGTTTAATTTTATGAAATATACGGACCTTTTTTTTCGCCTCATGTATATTTCACCTGGAAATATTTTTGATATTATTACAATGATTATAAATGAATCTATTACAAAACAATTTTTAGTTACAGTATTAAATTATTATATTGATGATAAACTAACCATTTTTTGGATAATGCATTTATATACTTATTACGTTCAATTGTTTAGTAATGATGTGTATAAATATAAAAACAATATTATAAAAGCTATTGAACTCGTTATCGAAAATTTATATCTTGTAAGTAAGCAAATATGTAAAAAAAATAATAATTATAGTGTGAGTTATTTTGATGAAGAATATTATATACTCCTCACAAAACTAATAAAAACTATGGATCAAAGAAAAGAAATCAACAAAATTGAATTAGAAAATGTAGAAGCACAAGAAAATTCGTTCTCACTCAGAAATATTTACATGTGTGATATAATTGAAGACAAAGAATTATTGAGAACTATTATAACGGATTTTGGTGAACAGAGTGAAGCTATTTTTGAAACTATCTACAATAACTTATATAGAGAATATATAATGGCAAAGAATTATTTTTGGTTTGATTCATGGATACAACAAATAGGAATTTACCAACAAAAAGTCTTAAACATTTTTAAAACTGTTTTAATGCATTTAATGAGAAAAAAATTGATGTATGTTTATTTATTGTTAGAAAATAAACAAAAAGTAGATGCAATTTATGGCCTAAAAAAATTGCAATGTTTAATTGAGAATACCATTATATTATTTGAAGGTCAAGAAGCTCGCGATGTTGAAAAAGTATTTAAATCTTTTGATCAAGGCGATTATCATAATGATTTGATTTTAAATATCGATAATATAATAAATAAAATAAAACCAAATTCTTTTGAATTAATTTCAAATGATTTAATTAATGACCCATCCAGCGAATTGAGTATTAATGATAAAACTAAAATGTTTATCACAGATTATAAGTTAAATGAAGACGATTTAAAATTTATGGAATGTTTATACACAATTACAGATTCTAAAGCAATGAATAACCATTTAGTAAAAATATTTTATTTTACTAAGTTAATAGATAAAACATTCCAAAGTGTTAATATAAAAAGTATTTTATCATATTTAAAATTTACTGAAACTTTAAAAATATTCATTTTTCAAAATAAAAATGACGATGAAAATAATGATGATAATAACGATGAAATAAGGTTATTAGATTTGTAAAAGTAAATTTTTTAGAGTTAAAACAATCTTCAATCATCATAATTTATTTCAAATCAATACTAAAATTATATTGGAGTTTATTTTTAAAGTTGTTTTAATCGTCGTTTTAATAATGTCACTTACTATTGTGGTATCACTTATAGTATTAGAATAGAATATGTCATTTGAATATATATTTCACATAATATAAATATTTTCATCATCAAAACAGAGTTTCCTTCTTAAAATACTATATATCCAGATAATATCTAGACATAATCCAATTATTGTTCAGATTTTAAAACAGTGTCTATACGCATGACTCTTATCATAATTTGAGTTAAAATCTTCAGCTTCCATGATTACGCTATAGACTGCAAGGCTACCTTCCTCTGATCATAATAAGCCATTTTACATGCTAACCCCATTTCTTTTAGTTGTAAAAAAATACACAAAATCTAGGAAACTCTACTCGAGATTCATACTTTCTGTGACATAGTCCCAACAATTTTTTTTGAACTTAAAATTGTTATCAAATTAATAATAATCATTAATTTCAAATATACTTAGAAATGTTGAAGTGAATTTAGTTTTGGTAAATATTTTAATTTATATTTATTTACTTATAAGATAATAATATTATTTTAATATTTTTCATATCATGTTAATAAATATTAATTAATATTTTAAATATAATTTTTTTTGTAAATTATTTCCTTTTAATGACTTACTTAACCTTATTTTTAATGTTTATCCAATATTAAAAATCTATTGTGTGTGTTTCTTATTAAGTAGCTAGTTTTTAGCTTAATGTCTGTGTTCTAATGAACATTGCCTCGTTAGACAAAAGTAAAACTAGATATTATAGTAAAAAAGTCTCGAGTTTAATGTATTTATTTTAACAAACATCATGCCGTCAGACCTGTAATATTATATTATTACATATAATATTAATATATAATAAGATGTTATCATTTGTTCATGTATGTCACATATTATGATTATACAAGATCACCAAAACAGGGTTCTCTTATTTAAGATACAAAATAACCCTTTAATTATACAATAAAATCTCCCTCTTGTAGAAATTATTAAGTAACGCCTACACGCAGGGACCCTCTTTTAATTAACCAATTACAATACAAAGCCTCAGCTTCTAGGATCACGATAGAGATCGCTGGGCTACCCCCTTCACACTATAAAAAGCCATTTTTCCCCATCTAAACCAGTTCTTTTGACGATTTTAAAATACACAAAATCTACGACGCTCTACTCAAGATTTCACTCTCCGGGACTTAGTCGATTTTTTAATTAATTTGGACTTAGAATATTTTTCAATTTAAAAACACTTAGTCGATTTTTTAATTAATTTGGACTTAGAATATTTTTCTTTAAAATTAAATGACACTTAGAAATTTTAAAGTGAATTTTGTTTTGGTGAATCTTTTAATTTAATTTAATTTGTTCAATCATTAATAATATTTTATTTTTCTTGTTATGAAAATAAACATCAAATAATATTTTAAACATTATATTTTTTTTAAATTATTTTATTTTAATAATAAATCCAACCTAAATTTAGATATTCATTTAATAATAAAAACTTATTGTGAGCTTTTCTTATTGGGTAGCTAGTCTCGTTGCTAATGTCTTTGTTTTAACAAACATCGCGCCGGCAGACAAAGCTAAAGGTCACAATCTTCTCAATTTAAATTGAGATTTAAATTTATTTGACTAAGTGTATTGCAACTCTATACTTATTGGGTAGCTAGTCTCGTTGCTAATGTCTTTGTTTTAACAAACATCGCGCCGGCAGACAGAGTAAAGGTTGCAACTAGACATTGTTCTAGAATTAGGTATATTAGGTTAGAATATATTTGTAAGCCTATGCGTATTGGGTAGCTAGTCTCGTTGCTAATGTCTTTGTTTTAATAAACATCGCGCCGGCAGACAACGTAGAGAAACTTACGAATATATTTGCAGTGTTTAATTTTTGTCTTGGTTATTATTGTGCCGCATCCTTTCAAGGTGCTTTATTTTAGCACCGGGACACATTGGGCCACCACAATTCTGCCTTGATAAATTTTTTACATAGATATAGATATTTCTGAATCTTGTTTTGGCCAGGCCAGAGGAAAATTTAAGAAATATTGGTATCGATCTCTCAATAAAATATACTCTCTAAAAAAAAATTATTATTCAACAGACGTAAAAAAAAATCAATAATAAAAAAAAAATAAGATTATATTTATAATAAAATAGAGAGTGTTTAAAATCTTTTACAAGTAAGATCAGTCTTAGACTTTGTGTAATTAAATCATATTATTTAAAGTCTTTAGTCGTTTTTTGTAAGCAATTATATAGACTATATTACATATAGTGTAAATCGTATACGTAGTGCGTTTAATACGGAAATCAACACTGGATTACTTAAAATATTATTGTATCACACAGGACGTAAGGTAAGTACAATTTAACTTATGCTTTCGAACTCCCAACAATCTATTGCGTGATAAACCATTAATAATTAATGAGAGAAACAATTAATGAGAAAATTAATTTAAATAAAATTGAAGACAATTAAATCTAATTAAAATTACAAAAACTTATAATAAATAATTGATTATAACATTTTACCAAGTACCTCCTAATTTCTTTTTATATTTAACCTACGCTTTCTCATTCACATTTTTATACGCTAAATTTTTCTTTTTTCTCTTCTTTCTTTTTATTTTTGGTTTATTACAGACCACGCAATGATACTTATGAAGATATACGTATTTTTATTGTTATTTTTTTGTTTTGGCGATGATTGTGCCTTAGCAATACCACGTTGATAAATTTCTACAGAGATAAATATTTTTGATTTTTTTTTCCAGGCCAGAGGGAGTTTTAATAATATTAGTGTTAATTTCTCAATAGAACATACTTCTCAATAAAATATATCTACTTAATTAAAATCAAAATAAGGTGTTTTTGATTTTAAAACAATATTCATTTTTTTTTTTTACGTTTCAATATTTCTACTTTTTTACGTTTAACGTTAAAAGGGTTCGAAACATAATTCACTTTCATATGCAGTTTTTTAAAAGGAGATTATGATTATTTTTTTCTTACATAGAGTTTTTTAGCTTCTTGAAAGAATGTGGCACAATAATTTATTTATATATTTATTTATTTATAAATTTAACGGGCTTAGCCATTTTAACAATATCATGTTATTTAACAATTTCATAAAATTAATATCAGTATAATATAATTCATAACGATTCAATAGAATATTTGAAATAATATATCGCAACCCTAGATCTAAACTGTTGTAACTCAAAAATGCGATTTTTGAGATAATGTTCATTTTAGGATTTCTGATTCTATTACCTACATGAGAATAAAACCGTAGTAACTATATCTTGTTTGGTTTCTAATAGAAAGCTCTAGAAGACAGTTTACTTGAATGACAGCATGAAAGTTTCATATCAGTTTGGTTATGATTCTTAAGCAGATGTTTTGGGAACTTTGGATTGTTCTCTGGTCATAGCTATTTGCTGGTCCCCAAATTATTATGCCATAAGACCATAGTGGTTGAAGTAATGTTTTGTACAATATAATTTTATTTGACAAAGGTCTTAGTAAATGAAGTCTCAAGTTCAGTTTCTTCCTTTTTTCTTTTAAATGAGGACCCCAGATTAACCTTCGGTCAAAAATTAATTAAATAAATTATCTTCGCTAGCTGACGGCCGCCGCTCTTATAATCTTACTTTCCACACTGT